GCAAATTGTTGTATTTATAAAGAGTTTGTCTGGTCCCAAATGAGGCAGTGGTCCTATCCCCCCTAGTGATCTGGCTTAGTTACTGTTTCCATGCATAATGTCTGTTATTTTGACAGGTAAAAGAATTGTACTTGTAAATTTGATTTGTACTTGTAATGTGGCAAAGTTGTAACTTTTTAACTTATATTTGTAACTTAAAAACTTGTATTTTCACATACAAATTGTACTTGTAAATTTGATTCATACTTGTAAATTTGATTCATACTTGTAAATTTGATTCGTACTTGTAAATTTGATGCGTACTTGTAAATTTGATTCATACTTGTAAATTTGATTCATACTTGTAAATTTGATTCATACTTGTAAATTTGATTTGTACTTGTAAATTTGATTCATACTTGTAATGTGGCAAAGTTGTAACAAATTTATGTAATTTAGACTCTTACACATACAATGATTCTGACAGTTATCTTACCCCACAGTTCTCACTCTAGTTACAGTACATGTTATCAGGTCTCATGTGGACATTTCCTTTTATGAACAGATTGTGTCTGGCCACAGTCAGATCTGTAAATGACTGCAGAATCACTTTGTACAGAAGAGAAGAACAGTTGCAATGTACAGACAGTGGTTTGGAAATGAGGAAGGTGGATTAAAGTGGCTCTGTGCCTCTGAGGTATGGTTATTATTGCTCCCTTCTTCAGGAGCGCAGCTATCACCTCTTTCAGTGGAGCTCATTAAAGCCTGTAAATAAACTACATCACCTCCTTAGACTGCTGATGATTCATCGAGGCAAACCTTTCTTTCATTTTCCCGAAACTTTGAGAAAAATTTAGTGTTATTGTAAAAAAATGCATACAGTGATAATAACCTGCAAACCAGCACAGTAGCTCACAGTGTCTTCCTGATGTCTTTTGGGTTTTGTTTGACTGCACTTAAAGCTTGGGGTGTCAGTTAGTGTGTACGTGTGACAAACAGGGTCTCACCTAGCAGTAGGATAATACAGATCAGGATGGCAATGATGGCTCCAGTGCCCAGACCAGCAGCCATGATCCTCTCCATGTCCACACAGTCTCCATGGTGGTCACATTGGCACACCTTGACACTCAGCACGGACGTGTTGGACAAGGGCACGTTTCCAGAGTCCGTGATGGTGATGGGAATCTTATAGATGCCGCTGGGCAGGGAGCCGATTCGCAGCCGAAGCTGGGCGTAATCACCTAAAGAGGACAGAGTTCAAGAACTTTACATAGTCATGACTTATTCTTTAGTCATATATTTTTTTGTAAACTGACGATTATTTTTGACTGAATTCATTTATTTGAGAATAAGGGGCAGATATAACAAGATTTTTTATTCTTCTGCTACCTTTCATTTAATTTATGATTTGTATTTTTGTTGTTTGTTGAATTTATGTTGTTGTTTTTAAAGAAATTAATAAACTTAATTAATTTAACACGCTGGACATTATTGCTTACAAAAAGCTAAGCAGGTCAAGTAAAATAGGGTTGTGTTGAAAAAGACTAAAGCTACTGACTACTGCACTCACTATACCATGGTCACTATATAGAACACTACACCATGGTCACTATACAGAACTCTACACCATCGTCACTATACAGAACACTACACCATGGTCACTATACAGAACACTACACCATGGTCACTATACAGAACACTACACCATGGTCACTATACA